GACTAGTACCGCAAGGGCTTGGCCGATTTCCATTCCTGCAACTATCTCACTGGAACCCATGCTTGCCGGTGATAAGCAACCGGACTGATGCCTGGTGCCCCCCAGAATAGATGGGGCTTTGCGTTTTTGGGAAGGGAAAAAAAAAAAAAAAAAAAAAAAAAAAAAAGACAAGGGGTGAGATCTCACTACCTTCTTCTCCCCCCCACAGAAAGGCCCAGCATCATGATTGTATCTGGACTGGAAAAGGGTTTGTATTAACTTTGTAAGCTTTGTATTAACTTTGTAACTCGCATACATTTGTGATTGGGACGATGAGGCGTTGTGTTAGGCAGAAGAAGGTGGCAGGAGCAGGAGAAGCTCGGAGATGGTAGCCAATCTATCATCAACTGTGGGCACGTCGGTTCTCTCTCGACAGTGGGCAATCGATTAATTGGCTGAATGAGAGTCAAATCTGAGCTCCTCATCCTAATCCTGCTGCTGCTAATGGAACTGCACCTAAGCTTTTGCGTGCTTTTTTTTTTTTTTTTTTTTTTGGAACAAAAGAGCTCCAATCTATCGGTGGGGAGCAGCAACAGCTGGAAAACGGGTCCCGCATCCCTCACAAGCAGTGGAATTCAGGTTGATTAAAAAAAAAATAAAAAAAATTCAGGTTGTTCAAGGAGAGGACAAGGAACAGCCCAGTCCCCTGCCGCCCTAGACACTCTGCAGGGGGGGGCTGGGAAGGGGGCCCAGGGGGGGAGGGGGGGGGGAAGGGGAGGAGGGCGGCTTTCACAGTTTTACCTTTTAGGATTTGCCAGATATCCTCTGTAGATCATGTGAATCAATTGTTGCCTTTTGCAGACGCAGACAAATTGTCAAATTCACATGATTCACAGAGGATAAATGTCGTATGGCCGAAACATAACCGGAGGATAAGCATGCGTTAAAACGCTAAAAACCAGCAAAAAGCTAAAATAAAGGCCTAGCTCAGTTGGTAGTACTTGGTACACCCTTCAACGGTTGGAATACAGCCCCAAGTTCGAAAACCCAGATGCAATCGGATGCACACAACACAATAATTCTGCATTACCTGGGGGCGGTCAGTTTTAGTGTTGAGATATCTCAAGATCCTCACCCTTTTGAAAACAAAAAGAAGAAAAAGAAAGGAAAAAAAAAAAAAAAAAAAAAAAAAAAAAAAAAAAAAAGAAGAGGCCCAAAACTCAAGAATATGTTCTCTCTCCAAAAGCTACATCTTTGAAACGGGGGCCAAAAAAAAAAGGTAGCCACCTTCTTCACGGTCAAAACTCTCCCCACGATACCAGTACATCCGGAAGAGCAGATTGAGCCGCAAAGTGTGTGACGACGAAACGACCATCTCTTCCCTGTCAGCCTACCAAACAAATCTGTACATCTTTTTTTCGATAGCCGCAAAGTGTGTTACGACATCTTTTTCACATTATGGAAGGGAAAACAAAGCCAGGGAGGAATAACCATGCGAGCTGGTGGTCGCGTAAACTCTAAAGGTTCAAAATTCAAACTCAAATCTCGAATAACTTTTTTCGATAATCTACTCTCCATGGGGCAGCACAGTGCGTATATATCTTGCCGAGACACGCTCGCAAGAGCGTTTTCCTTCCTTCGGCCACATCCTGGTGCCAATCCACCTCAAATACACGCACAAGGAAAAATAAGCATCACAGTGAGATGTCCAGGAGAATAAAACCTGCAATCGCATTGCGCACAGCTACTCCACTGTCGTGAAGATCTTAGCCAGTCTTCTCTGGTCCCATTTGTATGGAAAAAAGAGTTTTCCTGAGCACTTCAAGAATAAGTTGATGATCAAAAATTTCAAATTTGCTGCTAAGCAGACCCACCCAGCATAAGTAGAAGAAATCCAGTTCCTTAAACGACTAGTACCTCCGCCAGTGTTGGCAAAATAGGGAAAAGTGACAGTTTTTTTTCCCAAAAAACTCCTAAAAATTTGGAGGTCGGGCGCGACAACGGCTGCCATTGATAAATCTGATCGGCGGCCGTCGTTTCGTTTCGGCCTCCGAAAAGGTAGGAGGCCCACCCAAGGCCCGCTATTTTCCAACGCGGCAAAGGTACTAGTGGCTTAAACCACCACTACCTTTCTCATATATGGGGCCGCGGGCCTCCGAATTCAAATTCGGAGGCCAGGGCCCGCCGACAAAAATTATCGACGGCCTCCCCCGGTGGCAATTTTTTCACAGTGACAAAAAGGATGAACGAAGGTCGATTTGTGGGAAAACTTGATAGACCAAGATATACATACGGAAGGAGGGCTGCCCTTAGAAAAAGGGAAAAGAAACCAGTCGTAACTCTTTGATGGACTAAAATTAGAATTACAGAAACCTTTTTCAGGCAACCAGCGCTTCAGGGAGCCTGACATGTCAGGGAACTACTACTGGGTTCGAACTTGAAGTAATTGAGGTTTGAGGCAGCGTCGAGGACTGGGCAGAAACCGAGACATCCTGTAGAAAAAGAAAAAAACAGTCTAGAGACAAGAGATTTGCTTCTATAAATCAGTGAGTGTTTTGTCAATCTACACCTGGTCTCTAACCCCTCCTCGTAGCAGTGCGTTGTGAGCGGGTCCGTGGACCAACGGGACTCCTCACCGGAGCCCCTTGGTAACCTTCGATCCATAGATCGGCAAAGAAACTGTCATTCACCAGTGACACAGCAGAGCTAGACTTGCGAGCACGCTTGCAAAAGGCGACCAAGGCCGCCTTCTCATGAGCGAGGCAAGGAAACGACTTCTGGTACACAAGAGTGTCGGCAAGATAGTGAATCCATAAGCCATTTGTCTGCGGATATCGCCCCTCCCAATCCCCCTTTGTGACGTCTCCCATCCACCTGTATGTGTTACTTTGCGTGTTCCTCCGAGGCCCTTCAAATAGCTCGGTATCGCGTGAGAGGTCAAAGAAGAGAACACCGCCCTTCACCTCGAGCCGAGACAAAGTAAAATCGATCAATGAGACCAAGACACCTGCCGATCGCACCTTTATATTCCTTCCCTGCAGCCTGTAGTCCAGTACCCCCTCCGCTTGCCGTGAGAGTAACACGTTCCCCCAATGAAGGTCCCGATGTTCGAAGCCACACGCCTCCTCCCCCACTGCCAAGCACAGCGTGACCTGAAGAAGGAGGCTCTTTGCTTCCGCAAAGCTCTGCAGTACGAAGCCCTCAAGATCTTTCCCTCCGTCAGCCAACACGAACACAATATACAACTGAGAATCTGGGAAGATCATCGGGTGGTCGTTTTCTGATCCATGCTCGCTGTCCCAATCCTCCCACGCCGTGGTCAAAGTCGGATCGTACGCACCCTTGCACACTCTCACACCGAGAGTCTTTATGAAGTTTGGGGCAAAGCTCTCAGACTGGTTTCCATGCTTCCAGTCCCCTCGGAGGGAGCTGATGCTATTGGAGAGCATCACCTCGCTGAACGCCTCCTCTTCACTCTTCTGTGGTTCACCATTCACGCAGAAGTCACCCCCAATGGGAACCACCTTGAAAACAAGCCCATTTGTTGCAAAAGCCTCTCCATAAGTGCCCTCCCCAATCTTTCTGACAGCATTATCACCTGCAAACTCCTTCACCGCATCCATCAGACACACGAGCTTCCTCTGCCGGCATTCCCCGAGCAGAACTTGTAGTGACAAGCTGAGGGATGAAACACTGTCATCCATGAACAGACCATCAAAGGTGCTGGGAAGAGCATCCCCTATTCTGCATTGACTTGCCCGACGGCAAGAAGCTACACCACTCAAATCATCGTCATTTCCATCCGGGCTTATCCCTTCTTCGCCTTGTGGTTTGGCTGTTGCTGCTGTTGACGGTAATAGACTCGTCTTCCTGACATTAAGCATGGGAGGAGAAGTGGAGTCCATGACACTATGCTCCACATTCTGATCAATCGTTACCTCATCCTGTTTGCCAGCTGCCGAGTTGCCCAGCTCGTGGACATCTACTTCTTCAGCTTTGCCTCTCTCCTCAACAGCCAGTGATGCAAAAACATCCTGCAGCTGTCTGACAACTCCCTCCTCATCCTCCTTATCTAGGTGCTCAGCAAAATTCACTTTTTCCAGATCAACATCGTCACCAGAAATGGTATTCATTTGAGCACTCGAGTCCCTATCTTCGGTTATTGCTCTTCTTCCTGCCGTAGTACGGCCAATAACCTCCACCATTCTTTCCCCCATACATCCGCCGATGTCAATCTGTTCCTCTCTTTCCACAGCATCTTCTGCCCGCATCTCCCCATTGTCCCGTGCCAGAACCATAGGGGCCACAGGGTACGTGTTGGCATAAGAAATGCCTTCTTCTTCAGTTACAGAATGATCCTGAATCTCTTTCTTTGCCGTCTCACCTTGTTCTCGTTCACTATGTTTTGCATCAGCAGTGTGCATTCCGCTCTCTCTTAGTCCTCTCTCGTCGGCCATTTCTATAAGTCTATCTGCTCTGTCACCTTTGTTCTGTGCTGCTGTCTCTTGCTCCTCATGCTGCAAATGTGAGCTGCACTCAACATTCGACTCCTCACCCAACCCAAGCTTATCACACAGTTCTCCCGTCACCGACAGTCTACCATCAACGACACCTGATAGGCTCACACAAAAGTCCTCCATGCAGGAATCAGGGGACGGTGCAGTCGGCGCCACACCACAACTATCACTGCATGGATAACCATGAAGACACTCACTACTTCGATCCTGCAAAGACTCTCGGAGCGGCCTGAGATCGTCAGCGGATATGTTCACACACACATCTTTCCGTCCCTTGGTGTACAACTGGCAAGAAATGCAATTCTGTGCTCCAGTCGAACACACCGGAGCCATCCTGTTACATTGATCTCCTGAACCACTAAGCTCTGCTGTAATTGTCCCGTCTCCACTTGTGACCCCTTGGCCCTTGCCTGCTTGTGCTATACCCTCTCCGCCTCTCAACTGGTAGCCTAGATCGCACAGGTTTTGTCCATCATTCAACAGAAGGGATAGAGAACCAGTGTCCCCAGTGGGTAGGCATTCCAAGGCCTCCACAAGTGTCTCATTCTCCTTCATCTGCTCAAACCCCGCCGCATCCTCTCGCACTCGCTCCTCTTGTTTGGCACACAATTTCATACCAACAGGGGTGGCTTCCTCCGCCCCAACAGATACGTAAACCCCTCCCTTCGCTTCCCATTCAACACCACCCTCACCCCACTCCCCATCCTCCTCTCCCTCCACAACTTCCGGAAGCTGCCCTTCCAGATCAGCATGCCCTTTGTCGCCAGTTTGTGGATCTTGCATTTCCGATGCTTCCAGTCGAAGCAGGCCCATTTCGGCAACCAGATCATCCTTTCTGTCACCTTTTTCAGTTTCCATGATGACCTCCACATGCTCAGGCACCGGCTTCTGCACCCTTTCCCCATCATGTCGAGAAATCCTCGCCGTACATCCACCATTTCGGCCCTCGATTGCTTCACCCGATACAATGTCCTCCTTGCTTAGGTCCTCGCTGTCCAGAATCTCACAAATCCTAGCCCTGAAAGCATATTTCAACGTTAGCAAGGAGTTTGTGGGAAGATTATCCCTCTGCAGGATAGGAGGGAGTAGCAACCTTTTGTTCTTCTTCTTCTTCTTCTTCTGAACCTTTTTCACAACTGGTGATGGGCTTTCTACCACCAACTCAAACGCATCCACCTCAGCAAAGAACCTCCTTTTCTCTTCAACATACTGGTCCCACATTTTCTCCCACACAGCAGGGCTCCATCTTTCCTGCTTGTGGCATCTACCACTAGCCCCATTCCTGCCTTTTAAACAATCTTTCTCAGGTCCTATCTCCTCTTCCCCCTCAACTACTTGGCAAGACTCCAATGCCCGGCCGCAATTCTTGTTATTACCTTCCAACCCGGCAGCAAACGAACTGCTCCGACGCCGACACAGAGACTGACCTATCCAGCCGGTACGCCGCTTGCCCACCTGCACAGTTTGATGTGCATTGTGTTTGTTCCCCTTGTTCACACACCCTGCTCCTCCAGGCTTCCTTGTTTTGAAGTTATCATCATCCTTACCATCATGATTACCCCCCTGAACCCCACCTCCTGCCTGCTGTTCCCGTTGGCTGGAACTGCCACATTTTGTGACAGATGGCCCTCTCTGGGCTGCTCCTCTCTTCCCTCCAACCACAGAACGATCGTCAGCAGTCAATTCAGACATTTCACCATCTCCTTCTGTCACTACAAAGTCAAACTGCGTTAACCCCTGCCCTTTAGCAGGGTAATGAAGATTCCCGCCACAACCAGACTTTTGGCAAGCTCCTGTTCCGATAGATCCACTCATACCATCCTTGTCTTCAGCATGCTTAACGACACCCACATGGTTATTCACACCAGGCATGTCAGCAAGCCCACTTCCTGAACCACCATCCCCAGTCGTTTGCGCCGGTTCAGGATTAACTGCATTCTTTGGCTGATGTCTTCGTCTCCGGTAAACCTGAACAACGGGGGCAGCTTTGTTTCCCTCCATTGACAGAAAGTCAGGCTCACCTGGGCCCAATACTCCATCTGCAGGGATCTGGACACCAATCCTGGTGTTGTCCTGGGCTCCGCTTCCCATCCATCGACACCACCACTTCGCACCTCCGTGAGTTGCGGCCATCTCGATGTCTCCTTCCTTGTGGTCATTTGTGTACAACCTATCATCCAAGGAGCCCGACTCCGGACCAGCTGATGGTCTTGAGACAAACCCTTTCGCAGAAGCCATAGCCATTTGCGGTTGCCAAGTCTTTCTAGGCAAGGCACCTGTACTGCCAGTAGGCAAATCAGACTGCATGCGTTCTGATCCTGTACAACTGTACACTGTCTCAGAGTCAGCCGAAGCTGACTCAGACTTTGTCATTTCCGGTACCTCACTTTTCTTTCCTTCCACTAGGGAGTCACAAGAGCCTTGACTCTTAGAACTGGAACCTTTGTTCCTGGGACCATAATCTTGGACGTCGGACCTAGAACCTTTCTCAGAACCGGAACCTTTGCTCCCGGAATCTGAATATCCGTTCCTGGATCTGAAACCTTTGACCCCGGAATCTGAATCTTGGTTCCTGGAATTGGAACCTTGATTCCTGGAATTGGAACCTTGATTTCTGGAACCAGATTCTTGGTTCCTGGCTCTGAGACCTTTGTTCCTGGAATCTGAATCTTGGTTCCTGGATCTGGAACCTGGATTCCTGGAACCAGGAAATTCATCCCTGACACTCACATTCTGGTTCCGCGATCTGCAACCTTTGTTGCCGGGCCTCGAGCTCACTGATCGAGTGGAACAGCTTCCGCTGGTTACGACTGCTTCCTCCTCAGCGTCGTTGCTCACAGAGCTACCACGGGAGGAAATACACTGCAAGTCTATGTTCAACCGACACGAACTAAGTGCAGAGGTTGCAGCAGTGGAAGCGCTCTCAGTCTCCCCCTCCTCACCCCTGCTGCATGACTTTTGTGAGGTGGCAGGGAATTGAAGAGGGGTTTGGGGGCTCAGACTGCGCGCCGGTTTCTTCTTTCCAGCCATCTTGTGGATTTCGCCCTCACTTCTATCGGCAACTACTTCCGACAGACTAAGCGTTCACAACAGCTTCTCTCTACTCTCGGACGCACTTACTGGTTCCAACTCCCAACCACAACAGCTTTGCAATTCGTTTCACATCCTCAACCACTATCCCCACCTGCTTCCACCATCACCTGCACAGCGAAACCACCCTTCTCAGGTATCCACTTGACTGGTCAGCCCCCTGTCACAATAGATCAACGCCTAGAAGCTGAATTCTCTTGCAAGCAAGGTCTTGCATTGCCACCATCTTCTTCCTCGTACGTCAATCGAGTGCGCATGAAAGGTTGCTGCTCAGACTGTCTATCCACTTCAATCTTGAGACGCCTTTCCTCTCTGCAGACTGGATTGTTTTTCTCCAATGCAGCAAAACTACTGACAGCAGGCTTAACAGTCTTGTTACTCTTAAGTCAGACGAGTGAGCCTGACAGGTTGCCGGTCCCATGCCTTCTCCTCATCGATCAGAAGATGAGCTCCTGTCTGCAGGCCTGGATAACTGCAGCCTGGATTACCTTTCTCCAACCCAGTGAAACTACGGACAGCGGGCTTTCACGATTTAAGGCCGTGCCAAATAAGTTTGGAGGCCACATACCTGAAAAGCCCAAGAAGAGGACGACAAGTGTGTGTTAGTAACGGACATGCGATGCACGGGTCAGCTCGTGCACATATCTTTGGAGGTCTGAATGTTAAAAGCACATACATTTGAGTTAAACAATATCTATATTAGTTTAGCAAGTTGCATGTTCTAATCTCACTACAGGTCAGATAGTGCCAAACGGTCTCCTTTCTGATCAGTCTTTTGCCTCCAAAGCAGCAACTAGCCTCTTCAGATGCACGGGGAACGCACCTGCAAGAGTATGCCAGGAAAACACGCTCGAGACTATGCTACATTGCTTGTTAACATGTCCTGAGGCAGAGAGTTTATGGGGAATGGCCAAGTCTCTCTGGGGACAGATCATGTCGACGGCCTTTCGGGAGAACAACGTCACCCTGCTGCTAGGAAGCAATCTTCCAAGGGCTTGGCAACAGTTTGAAAAACCTATCTTCCAGCTCCTGACGCAGTACATACGATGCACGATATGGAAGAGACGGTGCCAGATCACCATCGAGAAGAGACCAATGCACAGGCAGGAGGCAAGGGAGATACACTATGGACTCCTTGAAACCCACCTTCAGGCACAGTGGAAAAGGGTGCAAAGGCAAATCCGTCAGTACCCTGAGCAGGTGCAAGAATTTGGGACCCGATTTAGCCAAAAGGGTGTCGGGAGGGTAAAATGGGGCTACCATGCCGACACCCTTTTGGATAAATCGGGTCCTCAATTCTCATTCAAACGGGGAGTGCAGGGAACCAGTGAGAGTTCAAGAGAAGAGGGGATGGATGAGGGGACAAGAGGAAAGGTGGAACTAGACATATAGATAGGCTTAAAAGAGGGGGTAGGGAAGGTCTATTTAAGTAACACATGAGGAAGTAGGAAAGAGAAGTAGAAGTAGGGATTATAATTAGGGTTTAGGGTTTAGGGTTTAGTGTAGGGTTTATTTAAGTACCAAATGAGGTAATAGGAAAGAGAGGTAGAAGTAGGGACACCAGTTGGGGTTTACGGGTTAACGGCACATCATAAGCGAAACTGGCTAATGCTGCCAGGGTAACTCTGGGTAGAATTGTGAGGTCCCCACGGACCTCACATTTCAAGCTATTAATGAGATGACACTGCTTTCTGTTACTAATAAAAAAGAAAAAGAAAAATATGATGATGGCGATGAACCCGTGTGCACTAGAAACCTGTCCTCACCACCAGCGACTGTGAGTCTCACTCCACTGCATATCTCAGGACCTGAGAGCCTCTCCGCTGTTTACAAGGCAGTGAATATCAGCTGCCTTATATCAGATGATGCGTTTCGGCGCTGACAAGTGCGGTAGAGGTTGTAGAGTTCTCGCAGGCTTGCATTCTCAGTGGCTCTAGTTCATAAAAACTGGTTCTCAGAGGCTGTAGTTCTCCAAGGATTTAGTTATGGGAGGCTCTACCATCTTCACCCGAATAGAATGCCCGGTCATTATAGCCGTATTTGGGGCAACTTTCACTCTAGATGCAGCCATAATGACCGGGCGTTCTATTCGGGTGAAGACGGTAGCTCTCAAGGCCCTGTTTCTCAGAGCGGTACTTCGCAGAGGCTCTAGTTCTTGGAGGCCATAGTTCGCAGAGGCTCCACGGTAGTTCGTGTGAGGCACTACCGCTTCACCCGAAAATAACGCCCAGGCGTTATATTCAACTTCCACAGTTACATACCCTTAAAACATCAGATTTTTGTTCTTACTCAGTTTTCTTTCCAAACAGGACGCCGCTTTGAATATAACGCCTGCGCATTACATTCGAATAGAACACCCGGACGTTATATTTGGATATTCCATGGGCAGAGTGCCTTGTAGAAGGCGTATAGATGGGTTTTAAAGGGGGGGGGNGCCCACTGATTATATTCGAATACAACGCCCGACTTATATTTGAATATTTCATGGAAAAGTGCCTTGTAAAGGTAATATACATGGGTTTCAAAGGGGGGGGAGGGGGGTATACATGAGTTTTAAAGGGGTTGGAAAGGGGTTTTGACGTCCAAGGGGTTATCTTTTAGTCTGATTTTTTGTTTTCTTTTTTTCATTTCCGAAATCTGAAGTGACCCCTCAGCCAAAAGTTACTTGCCATTGGTCCCCCCGAGTGGCATTGAGTAGAGACTGCTGATACTCATAGGGGGAGGGGAACCGGAGGGGAGGCACTGTGACTGGCCCATCGAAGAAGCTCGGTCCTGATGCTACCGGCTGACCTCTGGCCGGTATCGCCCACCTGCTGTAGCAGGTACCGCACCTGCTGGTGGGTGCAGCTCCCACATGTTCCCTCGTTGGAGGCTTGAGCACGGATGTGGCTGCTACGGGATTCCCTGTAATACTATAATGACAATAAAAAGGGCCTGAAAGGCTGTCCCCCAGTACACCCAGGCCTGGAGGCGCCTTACTGCGCGCCAAGCTTTTCCAAACCGTCAGCAGCACACTTTCTTTCTTTCTTGGCTGGCGCCGCTAGCCGTTGTGGTCCGGTAGGCCGAGCCTCCGAAATTTTCGTAGGCAACAAAAGTTGCATTTTCAGCAAGGCTGGCGCCGTGTACTGGCGGTTTAACGTGTGAGAGTGAGACCCATAGCGTCTGAGACTGCACTTTCCAGCAGTGGCCCCTCAGACACATAGCCTTTTACACCTCAAGACCTTAATTAGTGGGTCCCAGAGGCTGTGAATCGCACGCAACATCTGTGGAGCCCATAGCTGGTGCAGGCCTCACAGTATACAGGTCAAAGAGGCTGCAAGTCTCGCAGCAAGCCATCTCACAGGATGCAGGTCATCTTATTAGCTGCAGGTTTCACAGGCTGCCCGTGTGTGACTCTGGGAGGCTACAGACACCGCAGGTTTCAGAGGCTGGTCGTGTGTGGCTCTTGCAGGCTGCAGAGGCTGAGTAGCTGCGAATGACCCATGAAGATCCTGGCTGTGTGTGAATTCCAGGCGTCTTATCAGCTGCTGAACTTGTCGTGTGCGTTTCTTACGCCTGCTCGTGTGTGGCTCTTGGAGGCTGCAGACACTGCGGGTTTCAGCGGCTAAGTAGCTGTGCGCATCAACCACGAAGATCCTAGCTGTGAATTTTGGGCATGTATGAGCTCGTGATGTGGGTTTCTCACACACAGCTCATCACGAAGGCAATGATTTCTATAGGTCTCAAACGCTGCAGGCTGCATACACTGCGTGTTTCAGCGGCCGAGTAGCTGTGAATCATACACTACGTGTTTCAGCGGCATGTATCAGCAGCTGAGCTCGTCATGTGGGTTTCTCACATACAACAGCTCATCGCGAAGGCAATGATTTCTATAGGTCTCAAACGCTGCAAATCTCAAGACATACTTACCATTTGGACATTTTAGGCCGAATCCGATCAGCACTGCAGTCAGATACATTCAATCAAGAAAGTCATATGAAATGCTGCCCCTGGAAGCTCTGCGTTTCCTAGGCTCACCTTACCTGATCAGGCCGTCATATGAAATGCTGCCCCAGTAAAGCTGTCAAATGCTGTCAAGTCTCCCAAGCATAGGGGTCCGTCCACTACGCTGAGTTTAATCAATGAAACACATGACAATGTTAGCGGAGACCCAAGAGCCTAGCTCAGTGGGTACACCATGAACTGTTGAAATAAGGACCCGAGTTCGAATCCGAATCCAAATGATAATGATATACGGCGAGTAAAACAAAATATTTCTGGATTGCCTGGGGCTGGTCAGCTCAACGATGATGATATGTCAAGGCCGTCGCCCTTTATCTCTATACATATAAAGGAAAACGCAGGTCTGGTGTCGGACTCGTGGCAGGCCCAAGGGCGGAC